TCATCGCCTAAGTCAACAAGATCTGATCTCTGACCAGAAGTTGTGGGTGGGCGTTGCTACCATGGCCTATAAGGAGAAATATTTCATGCACATGGGTGCTTTTAAGTGTAGGGACCAAAATTAGTTGTCAAAAGGATTCAATTGGAGCCCGACCAGAAACAGGTCTGTTAACCATTTTAAGTTTAGCTATAGCTCAAGAAACAGACTTTGGATGTGTAAACGTCAGACTGCTGTAGGTGATAGTTTTATTATCAGAATAGTTAGTTTTCCGTCACCACTAGAAACATTATTAGGCAGAATTACAGGATTGTGTACACAGTTGACATGAAGGGTATCTTTAAAACATGGATCAAGGTGATATGACTGGAGTCTTGTTTTTCCTTTTTAGAGCTTAAATTTTATGTGTTGTGAATCAGCTTCAGAATTTAAAGGAACAGTTTGTAATATTTAGAGAGATTTAGTGGCATCTAGTGGTGAGAATTGCAGATTACAAACAGCTGATCTGAACAGAAAAAAATACTGAAGAAAGCAGTTTCATGTCATGTTTGGCCGCCAGCCTAGCACCTGCTAATGTGTACTCATCCATTTTCTCTGATAACTTAATGCTAATTTTATATATTCTTTACGGACCTCATTTTAAAAATGTAAGCACGCTTTTTCCTACTTCATATTTGTGTATGTTTTTGTTATTTTGTCATACAGGGTTCCCCCACATTTTAAAACACAAAAATTTCAAAACCGTTCATGGAAGGTTATCCACAAAAGATTACTGTAACTACGTCTCTACACACAACAAAATTCTGTGATTTTTCGAAATCCTTCCATGATTTTTACTGGAAAATGCAACTGTGAAATTCCATGACTTTCAAGGTTTTCCATGACCGTGGGAACCTTGGTCATATGCCTTAAAACATGGTATCAAATTTTCCCAGTGATATCACTTACTAAAAAAGCACCATGCTACACCTCTGACCTCTCTGCCTCCACCATCCGCCACAATTCTCAAACTCTCTGAAGCGACCTGGGAAACCTTTAAAGACCAAACGCTGTGGTGTCAACCTTTGACCCCAGAAGCTTCATTTGTCAGTCATCTTTTGTCAGGGGAAGGTAGAGCAGAGTCTGTTAAAACATGTGAACGCCTTCTCTGTCCCCGTGATGGAGGGCGAGGAGAAGCAGAGCAGACATGTTGTGGGTGTAACAGTTCAGTGTTCCCAGCACGAAACATCGCAGGCCGTTTAAACCCTCCCTTTAGGAGACTGATTAGAGTCTTTAAAGACTTAAAGGACTGTGACTCGTGGGTCCCTCCTGTCTCTTTACGACTGTTGGTGGGCAGACCGCAGGCTCTGGGGGCAGCAGTAAGCTCTTGAACAGGAGCTGGATGAAACCCCTGATGTCTGCTGCTGATGTGGGGCGGGCAGGGTGGAAATATAATCAGGGGAGGAACTGGACAGTACAGCAGCAGTGTGTGTGTGTGTGTGTGTGTGTGTGTGTGTGTGTTTGCACACGTGAGTGTCATGCCTCCAAAGAAAGCAGAGCATTTTTTTGGAACATCTTTAACAATACTATATCACAGCCTGTCACGGTAATCACGTTATCATCTTATTAAGGTCAGCAAAAATGATCAAGGTCATGTCCGTATATCGAATGACATTGCCCGTTGTGCTTACGTGTGTTTGTTTAAGAATGTCACCAACATGATGCCCAAATAAGTCGCAGGGTTTTCCCCACCATAATGAGATTTGGGTGCAGTGCATATGTGTTTTGGAAAACACGAGGTCAGTTGGCGGGCGCCACTCTTTTTTGTGTCATCTTTTAAGAGCATGGCGGCAGGTTGTGTCTGAGGTTGTTAAACAACTTTTATAAGCATTGTATAGCCTATTTACCTGAAATCCTGAGAGCAGAGCTGATCTTCTTCCAGGTGCTGTTTATAAGTGTGTAGGCCTATTGTCTGTGGGACAGATGTAAAGCTCTGGGTAGCCCAACTTTTCCGTATTTATCAGACTGAATATTTACAGAATAAGGGAAAGATATTTGTCGGCTGTGACTGGTTTGTAATGTGACTCCTCCAACTTTATTTTGATAAGGCACAGCTCCTAATAGAGTTTCACATTTGTTTTATTTAATTTTTTATTTTTCTGCAACTAAGCAACCAATGAAATCTTGCTGACAAATGACCTTTCTGGTCAACTAACGTTTGGTCAACTATTAGAGGGCAGCCCTAATTAATGTATTGATAAGTAAATAAAATCTCAAGCCAAATAATAGAAAATATTTCCACTTAAGTTAAACTGTGGAATCCACTTGGTTTGTGAGTTTATTCTGACGTGTCAATCTGAGCAGAAATATAGTGCAGACAACTCTGTATGCAAAATATGTAAAAGTTAAGCAGGATTTACTAAATAGCTCACTGGATCATGTCGACACTTTTCTTGTGAATCCTAAACATCATATTCAGCAGTTTCCTCCTTTATAGTACTGTAGATCCTCTATTCCAAAGAAAAGGGCACCCAGCTCTCATTGTATTGTTTTACTTTTCCTTACTGTTTAAAAATGACATTGCAATGGAAAACAATTGTGTGATCACATGATTATGACTTACACTATTCAGCGTTGCCCTCTAGTTTTACCAAACTGCCATACAGTCTGTAATGGAGCGTGTTAAGTTCATCAGGGGGAGGCGGTGGGTAGCAGTAACCCCACATGACACCACAGCTCAGCCCTGCTCCATTTATCATGGCCTCAATTGGCAGGGAGGTCCCTTCGCTGTCTTCCTGTCTCTCTCCTACTGCTCCTCTTCTTTACTATCAACGCTTTAGCCAGAATGAACGTTGGCTTTGTACATTTATGGAAACCATGGACTTCAAGGATTTTATGACATAGTGGATATGTTGAACCTTTACGTTTCTTTACGTTGTTGTGGTTAATGTGTGGTTATGTTTTGGCACAAAAGCCACTTGGTTATGGTTAGGAAAAGATCATGTCATGGCTGAAAACAGCTGATGTTGGTGGCACACTCACGGCTAGAGATGCCACCAATGTCTCTCTAAAAAATGCACACTTTTGTTGTTTGTTGGTCTCAAGCAGGGAAGGGGAGTGTCAGAGAGGTTGGTGTTGTAGGAGGTGTTGGTGAAGCTGGCACAGTGAGGTTGTAAATCTTTGAGTTTTGCACTCAGAGATCTGAAAGGCTGCTCCCTCTGATAGACAGGCCTGACCAATAAGAATCATTGATTAAGGGTGCATTTTGGGGATGTCGGTTTCAGCTAATATTGCTTTCGATAGCCTGACACCTATTAACTGGTAACTGACTGGTTAATTTATAAGAAAAAATTGTGTGAAAGCTGTCATTTTAGTCTTGTGCTCTATTGATTCAGTGAGTTTAGCATCGGATTTCGAAGAGCTATCCATTTAGAGGTGTTGAAATTATAGTGTTTTACCTTTTAATTTCTGTTGGCATTGCTGACAGATAGGCGACTAGCTGCATTGACGTGCCCAATACTTGCTGCCCACTGCCGACCCTTTGGTCTCCACTCTACCGCTCTGCACAGCGCACTTGATGGCCAGTGCCGCTTATTCAACAATCATGTTGGGAATGCCATCCCGAAGTTTGTTGCAGAAACATGGTGGCCATCCTCAGGTTTCCCCCCAGGTTGTTCAGGTTACGGAGAGGCTTCATTTTGAGCTGTGGAACCATGTAAGCACCACTAGCCGTGTGGACACAGCTCACGGTGCCAACCACGCTAACAGTGATAATGAAGGATGCATTCGTAAATTCGATCGGAGGCTCTACACTAATATGAGACTTCTGTTGTTCAAAGAAATAGATTGTTCTGTTTCTACATGAATTAACAAACGCCTGGCGCTCTGCTGCTCCCTAGTCAGAGTGCCCGGAGTACAGTCTGCTATGCCAAGAGTGTGGCGCTTTGGTTAACAGAATGGAACATTCCTACAGTGCTCCAAATTTACAAATGGTCCAGTTTGTGCTATAGTGCGCTCCAGCACTCTGTTGTATTTCCGACCAAGTGCAAAAGGGGTTTTGCTGCTCAAAATTAAGCTGCTTACTCAACGTGGCGACCTGGGGGAGACCGGAGGGTAGGCAAAATGTTTCTGCGGTGATGCTGTTCCGCCACCCTTGGTCAGAATGCTGTTACCAGTGGTGCCACTAGCTAGCTCCTACCCAACTCAGTGCAGAGCGGTCAAGGCTATTTAACCAGAGTAGTATGAACGCCTTATTCGCCCTGTTCTTAATGTGGTACGCAGTGCTACTACTACTATACTGAAGAGTGGCAAAATTAAGCTATAGACTGACAGTAGATTTAGTCAAAAATATTCCCAATGGATAACTGTTGCAAGACAGCTCTCTCCAGAGACGTGAAAACAAAGCCATATTATTATAATGGGTGAGAGAAGGAGGGGTCATCTGTTTGATATATGGCAGAGGGAAGTTGATTGTGATTGCTGGCAATGCCCTCAAAATGTATAGATCAAGTTCTTTATTCTTATCATGTGCACAATAATTATAGTAAATAAGTCACTGGCAATAAACATGAAAGCCATAGGCACCCTCTGACACTGCTCAGTGTCTATAAAAAGATATAATCAGTATTATGTCCTGTGGTAAATACAGACGTACAGGCCTCTGTGTCACTGTGCATTGTGTCTTTATGCCTGCGGCGTTTCTGTGTTTCCATTTTGTAGAAATACTTGTTCGCTGATGTGTGTGCCTTTCTGTAGAGGTGCGTGCATGTTTGTGTATTTATTGTGCAATATTGCGTGCCGCTCAAATGTGTGACAGCCGGCCTCCAGTGGAGCCGATTCAACAACAGAGCAGAGGAGAGGCAGAGGAATGGGAGCAAAAGGCGAGTGTTGCTCAGCGGGCTGCGAATAACCGGCCTGAGGACATCAACGGGGCTGGAATGGAGTCAGAGAGGGACAGAGGGAGGGAGGGAAGGGGTGATGGGGGACGAGAGGAGAGGCACAAACGAGATAAGAGGAGGGAAAAAGGAAAGACAGCAAGAGTTTAGGATGGAAAGAGGGAAGAATTAAGAGTGACATGGACTGAGGCGTGGGGAGGAAGACGTATGAGTCAACGAGCTCTGTGTGTACTGCTGTCGTTTAGATGTGTTAAAGATTTGACATCAGTGCTCGGACTGCAGTGTTGTCGCACTGAAACTTGGGAAAGACCAGGAGGTAGTCACACACACACACACACACACACACACACACACACACGCACACACACACTGTTCTTTTATTCTATTTTCCCCTCCATCCAGATGTCCACTCAGCAAGGATCCAGATGGCCTGGTTACCCTCTCTATAGTGGAGAGGTGCTTTTTGACGCACACACACAGACACACACACACACACACAAAGCAGCATGGCTGTGTTTTTCTCCCTCTCAGAGGGAGGATTAACTCTCCTCATTAGGGCTCCCCCGCCTCTCGCCATCATCTCTCCTCCCCCTCCCTCCCCTGTCGGCCTGCCTCGCCGTCATTGGCTGCTTCTATCAGGACCACCGCTGACTGGATCGCTGTGACTACAGGACACAGGAGAGCAGGGAGGAGGTGGGATGGGTTGATGTTGCCACGGTAATAGAGGAGGCGACCACTCACCAAATCATCGAGCCGGGGCTGAAATGCAAAAAAAAAAAAAAAAATCAAGTGGAGGGGTGTTAGAAGGTGAGGGGAGGAGAGGAGAGGGAAAAACAATAACAACAACAGCGAGGGATTAGGCATCGGCCGAGCAATCAGGAAGTCCATTTAGGACAAAGCAGCGTTAAAAATCCTCCCAGACTTTAGCCGTGATCATCAGAGCTGAGCTGCCAGTCCGATTGGACAGCTGCAGGAGATCTGTGGGGAGGAAAAAAATAGAAGCACACAAAGGAGGGATGATATAAATAAGACAGGTGAAAAATGAAAAACAGCTCCTGCACGATCTCTGCCCTTCGCTGCCGTGATATTTCACTGCTGTCGGTGAGTGAGAGGAGGTGAGCTGGCCGCTGTGATGCCTGGGGCACAGGAATAGAAACACAGAGAGGGAGCAGGGACACTGCTGGATATGAAGAGCATGCGTCAGCACTAAGGCAGGGCGACCCAGAGAGACAGCAGAGATGAGCGAGGTGGAGAGCGAGGTAGAGCGACAGACAGATTGAGGGTAGGGGTTATTATCATGGCGTGAGAAGGGACGACGGAAATAGACCCTGCTGGATTTGTCACCTCCAGTGCCACACCTTGGCTGCATCATCCCCAGTGCTCTATCCCGGCTGCAGCAGCTTCTACACGTGGGATTTCCTTGTTTGGGAGGACAATTACAACTAGTAGATTCATTTGGAACGATCAGTTTGACACCTCTGAACATTCACGCCACTGGCCTGCGAAGAGGACAAACTGTACTGTCTTTTAAAGAAGGCTGTCTTCTGTTTTTCTTCAGGAGAGGAAGCCCGCCCACAACAATGCAAAAATAGGGATTATGTTCATTCTGCATCAAGAATTACTGTCCGCAGCGTGCCAGAGGAATGCGTTACTAAAAGCTGTTTCCATAAAGATAAGCACCTGTGTTTTTACAGACTGCTCAGTCAGTGCACACGGCCCGGCCATCACTGTGTGAACATGACAAACTCATTGTCCGGCCATTTTCAAGGAAAGCTGACTCAATCTAACTGAGGAAGACAATGAAGGTGGGAGTACTGGAGGTATACAGTGGCAGTATAGTTAGTGGAATATAATGCCGTGCTGTACTGTGAATGACATGCAGAATACTGTACTTGTCTTCCTAATGACAGCACAGACCTCGAAGCGAGCTGACTGACCGACTGACTGACTAAGCGCGTGGGTTGCTCACTGACTGGAGCAGTGGCTATTTGAGGACTTTGAGGACACGTAGCCCCGGGCAGGTAACGGCCGGGTGTTGGAGTCCCATCATGGGGGAGACGGCAGAATACCAGAGGCTGCAGGAGACGTCAGAGTCTGACTACCAACGCCTGCCCAGCGACGATGAAGAGGTAGACCTCTACAGTTTTCTTGAATATAGTAGTGATCCTGCAACTGATTTTAGGCAAACATGGATGACGGGTAAACAATGAGCAAATTCAGCAGGTCCTGTCAAAGGAAAATTAAAGGGTGTGAGATGATGGAAGGCTTTGTTGTGGTGTTTTCCGAGGGAGGCGTATTTCTCTCTCAAAGGAAAATTAATTTTGGATTGCAACAAAAGCAATCAGGTTATCAGTAAATTCTGGTTCTCTGTGTTTTTGTGGCAGCAACTGACGCAATAGCATTGCAACTAAATCGTGCGTGCAGATGTGAATTTGGATGGGCAATATTTGTGTTTGTGTCATTACTAACAAGTAGGAACATATGAGGACTGGATACAGCGATGGTCTCGTTCATTGCTATGAAAGGCGCTCAGTAGAAGCCAAAAAATCTTAATTTTGTGGGAGCAAAATTACCTTGATCTGCATCATTGTGCCCATAGAGCAAGCACACCAGAGACATTGTCTATCGAGCAGCTAACTTTCACTAAACTTCTGGTTAAGCCATCTTTTAACTTGAATGGGGATAAAATAATTTCATCGTGCAGCTCTTTTAAGGTGCTTTCACACCTGCCCTGTTTGGTTCAGTTCAACTGAACTCAGGTACGTTTGCCCCCTAAGTGCAGTTCATTTGGGCAGGTGTGAACACAACAGTCGCACTCAGGTGTGCACCAAAACAACCAGACCGAGACCTCTGGACTCTGGTGCAGTTTGTGGTGAGAACATGTTCCGACCTCGATCTGAACCAACTGCAGTCACATGACACATTGTTTGGGTTAAACATGAGCATGTTACAGTCCTGGAGGATTATTAATGTGCACCTCCTCCTGTACTGCCTTAAAGGGATAGTGCACCCAAAAATGAAAATTCAGCCATTATCTACTCACCCATATGCCGAGGGAGGCCCTGGTGAAGTTTTAGAGTCCTCACATCCCTTGCGGAGATCAGCGGGGACAGTGGCTAGCACACCTAATGGCAGACGGCGCCCCAGACTAACGTCCAAGAACACAAAAATGAATCCACAAAGTATCTCCGTACTGCTCATCCGTAGCGATCCAAGTGTGCTGCAGCCCCGACATAAAAAGTTGTTTCGAAAAACGTCATGAACTCTGTTTTTAGCCCCATTGTAGCCTGTAGCTCTGACTGCTTCCCTGTGCGCGCGACCAGCGACAGCATGAGCTTTGCTCACCCGTGTTTACATCACGTGACATTAGGTGTGCTGGCCGCTCCCCTCGCTGATCTCCGCAAGGGATGTGAGGACTCTAAAACTTCACCAGGGCCTCCCTCGGCATATGGGTGAGTAGATAATGGCTGAATGTTCATTTTTGGGTGCACTATCCCTTTAATATGCACATTCAGCGCATCCAATGCATCAAAAATTTGTTTTCTAGTTGGAGCCGTGCCTCGTTTTCAAACTGTATGGTCTGACTAAAATGAACAATGACAGCAATATAGTCCACGATAAGCAGCACTAAAATCAACCTGCGTAGTTGTCCCTCCATTGTGACATTAGAAAGTGTCACATTTATCTTATAACTGTACTCTTCTTCAATGTTTTGTTTACTTCCTGGATTTTTCCCACATGGAAATTCTGACCAATCAAGAGCAGCTTTCTCACACAAGGCATTTTATCTGGTCCGCTTGTTAATGCTGCCATGAGAACATAAACTAACTCTAGGCAATTATACAACTTTGCAACAAAATTAATCCCTGATTCGGACCAAAGCAAGACAACTCTAGGTCTGAAAGCACCCTTAGACTTTCAAAGTGTTACTGACAATGGATCAGATCCTACAGTGAGAGGAGTCATTTTGTTGAGTTGTGACGCCCAAAAAACTGGTCTCTCTCTTTATGAAAGTCTATGGGAAAAAGTCTCTTTAGGCCCAATGGCATCATGTGACCGACCTGGAAGTTGTGGTTACACGGTTTTGCGAAGTTGGCCCCAGAGTCTGACTCTGCTAGCTGAAAAATGAAGCCAACACTTAAGTGCCAAAAACTGCAGTTCCTTAAATGGCCACTCCCCATAGACCCTCATCTTAAAATGCCCAACTTTACAAAAGTAAACATGTTTACAGCCTAGTACAAAAAACGGTCTTGGTCTCGCTTGTCAGATCAAGTCTTTGGTTGTACTCAAAGCTCTAAAAGTGTGTTTTGTTTTTCTGTTAAGTACATTTTGTTTCAATGCTTTTAAGCCTGTTGACCAGTCAAAAATTGCTTTAGTATTAATATTATAACAGTTAACCATAGCTATAAATGCACAGTGCAGACCAAGCTAGCAGCTAGCATTGGGGTTAGCACCACTCTCTCGTCCAAATATGGCCATACAGAAATCCAAATGGCCAAAATGTCAAACTGGAGGCTTTGTATCAGTAGTTCACAAACCAGTTGAGGATGTCACTGTGGCAATCTAGGGTCATTACCAAATGGCATGGCATTTAATGGTGTCCTTTAACGTCAGTTTGCAGATTAATACTAGTCTAAATGGTACCTGACCAAGTGGCAGTCAGGGAGATACAGTATTATTTTCAGTAATTTATTGTGTCAGAAAGATAGGTCTTTTTCACAGGACACTTTTTGACATGTCATAGTAGGAAAATGCATAATAAAACAAATGTTGTCTGTATTCTATTTAGCTGCTTCAGTTTAATGGCCCTGGTTTTGTGCATGCTGGCTCACTGTCACACTGTCCTGACCTACTGAGACACTTACATAGAACAGAGCCATTGTTAACATTATTACTAACACCTGTGATTTTTCTACCACAGCAAGAAAAAAATGTGCGGTGTGGTAAAAGTCCTGCTGTGTAAATACAATTCAGTATCATAGAAATCTATATAACTTCTCATATATCTGTCGTACAAAGCCAGCTCGTTTACCCTTGTATGTCACCGTCACTCTCCTCACCCACCACATACTCACGCTCACCACACAGCAGCACTTCTCGCCCACACACAAGGCCAGCCCGTGTGTGTGTGCCGAGTTATTGAATGCAGAACCATGAGGTCATTGATGAGGTGCTGCCGAATGAGCTCGGTGACAAGCAAACTATGACATTTTATAGCCTCCCACCTCTTCCGCAAACCCTCACGTCCTTTCACAAACCCTGTGATGTACGGACAGACCTCGCTGTTCTTTTGGCTTGAGTGGGGCCAGCAGTGCCATTGCCACTGTGCTGTCAGTGTTCTTGCCTTTTTCAAATCTTTATTGGTAGCTTACTGTTGGGAGGCAGATGGAGAGGGGATGACATGAAGAAAGGTTCCTAGTGGGATTTGAAAAGGACTCAACACTACAGTGAATTTGCCAGACCGATATTAAGTTGTTGCTGATGTATAGAGAGGCAAAGTCCCTCCCCTTCCAGCGTCCCCCATGGGATCTTATTTCATAAAATAAACATGTACGGTAGTTAACAGTGAGACACTAATCATTTTTGGATCCCGTTTGAATTGTGCCATGAATTACACGTTTTTCAGATTAAAAGAATTTCTCAAACGAAGAAGGTCGCAGTTTTCCATAGTATCATTCAGGGTGCTTGGTGCTTGGAGTATCAAGGTCGGAACACGTTCTCACCACAAATGAACCGCACCAGAGTTTGTTTGTAACTGTACCAAGACCACCTCTTCAAGAAGGTCTTGGTGCGGTTGTTTTGATGCGCACCTGAGTGTGATTGCTGTGTTTATATCTGCCCAAATTAACCACACTGAAACCGAACCAAACACGGCAGGTGTGAAAGCACCCTTAGTTTTGTGTGAAACCGCTGCCACGTCTCGCACACTATGCGTCACCAATAGGGCCGTAACGGTACATGTATTTGTGTTGAACCGTTTGGTATGCGACTTTTGATTCGGCACGACCCTGTACCGAATTATTGGGAGCAGGATATTATTTTATTTTATTTTGTTTTATTTTAATTCCATTTTTGCGAGCCGAATCATTTAAAATATCTAGTTCCCCGACTGACGTAATTGAGTGATGGACCGAGTCCCGTAAATCTCCACTTTCACTTTGTGCAGCGCATTCTCGCATTTTCACAACATGGCAAGTGAGCCTGACGAACCTGAAGACCCACCCGCAAACCTTAAGTCCTCCGTTCGGGAACACTTTGGTTTCAGGGTAAAATACGAAGATGGAAATAAACAAGTGGACAAGACAAAAGCAGTGTGCCGACACTGCAGAACAGCGGTCGGGTATGTACTTGGAAGCACGTCTAACATGCTAACGCATCTAAAGCGACACCACCCGAGTTTGAACGTTAACCGGCACGACTAGAAAAAGCAATCTGGTGCAAACTACGATATCGTCGTCGTTTAAAAAGAAAGAGCGTTTCCCTGACCATCGCGCTAAAGAAATAATCAATGCCATTGGAGTTGAGTAAAATTGTTTAAGCTGCACTTTAGATATAAGCATGTTTTGTTTACTGCACTTTAACAAAGTGGGAAAGCTAAGTAAGTTCCTAGTAAAACTGAATCTGAACAGGCTTTAAAGCTGACCAGCTGCACTATACGTTTTATTTTAATTGAGTAAAACTGTTAAAGCATAAATGTACAGTACAGGCCAAAAGTTTGGACACACCTTCTCATTCAATGCGTTTTCTTTATTTTCATGACTATTTACATTGTAGATTCTCACTGAAGGCATCAAAACTATGAATGAACACATGTGGAGTTATGTACTTAACAAAAAAAGGTGAAATAACTGAAAACATGTTTTATATTCTAGTTTCTTCAAAATAGCCACCCTTTGCTCTGATTACTGCTTTGCACACTCTTGGCATTCTCTCCATGAGCTTCAAGAGGTAGTCACCTGAAATGGTTTCCACTTCACAGGTGTGCCTTATCAGGGTTAATTAGTGGAATTTCTTGCTTTATCAATGGGGTTGGGACCATCAGTTGTGTTGTGCAGAAGTCAGGTTAATACACAGCCGACAGCCCTATTGGACAACTGTTAAAATTCATATTATGGCAAGAACCAATCAG